TTTTTTTTTTTTTTGAACATAGGAGAAATTTAAAAAACAATGAATTTTTTTCAAATAGTTGATAAGACTAAAACTCTCTATCAATTCAATTCAAACATTAAAACTTGAGATCAACCATTGGCCCTTCAGGCCAGTTCACCTAGGTTGCTAATTTAGAAACACTTGACTGCTAAAAGAAAAAATTACTCCTACTTGTTACCGGGTGATTTTTGAGGGAGGACGGGTCAATCCACCGCCGAGCGTTAAAACGGTGCGTTTAATAGGAAAGGGATACGGATATCTCCATCCATTCCTGATCCGCATAGAGTTACGACAGCACCCAAACAGACTGACGGTTCGAGTCACCTAACTTTATCGTAACTCGTCAAGCTCACCTCTCGCATTGCATCAGCTCTCCGCCGTCCTCTGCATCTTCGCTTCCTCGCCATGGATCGGACTCAGCTTCTCCTACTAGGATTACCGCTCTTTCTCCTCTGCAGCGATCTCGTCAATCTCTTTGCTCCTCCGCCGCCGCCTCCTCCGAAGCCCCACCATCCCCACCACCCTCACCATCACAAGCCCAAGCCTCCTCCATACACCCCTGAAACCCTAGAGATTCCATCGCAGGTAACTTCAAAAGCTGTTAGATTCTATATATTCAATCTGTGTTTATAAATCTCTCTCTGATCGTTCTCCGTTGTATCTGTTTCTAGCAAGCAAGTGGACTTGGGGGAATCGGTTTCGGCAGTACCGTGAATATCAACTTCTGCACTTCTTGTTCGTACAAGTATGCCCGTTTTATCTGCTTAATTTTTTTAATTTAATAGTAAATTACTTGATCAATTCAGTTTTATGTGATCATGTTCATTCAGTTGACTGATCTTTCTACAGCATTCTGGATAATAATCTCTTGGATTGTCTAATCAAACTAAACTTAACCCCTTAATTTTTAACTGATTGATTGATTTTTCTGTAATTTTTTGCTTCGTGGAGAATTTGAGTAGAATCTGTAACTCATCGCTGGAATGTGGAGTGTTATCCAATTGTTAGTCTTTTTTGTGCAAACTAGGGATAAGGACCTTAATTTTCTCCCCTTTTCAATTAGAAAGTGCTAATTACCTGCTATTAAAATCAAACCTGGCATTGAAGTTTTCAGCTAGGCACAGGTTAAAAGTAGCTGTGAAGTCTCATTTTTTTTTGTAGGTTATTGCTTTTTAGTTGGTTTGTTTGTGTTTCTCCTCTAGACCCTTTTCATGTAATTTACCAGCTGAGAAGCTGTGGTGAGTGAGTCGTATTATGCTTTGAATTGCACTTCTTTTAACAATGCTTCTTGCAGGGGAAATGCATTGACAATCAAGAAGATGTTGGAAACTGCTTTCCCTGGGATTGATGTTATTCTTGCAAACTATCCTCCACCCCTGCCAAAGCGCCTTCTAGCTAAAGTTGTTCCCGTTGTTCAATTTGGAGCTCTTGGAATCTTAGTTGCAGGTGAACAGTTATTTCCTATGCTGGGGATGACCCCACCTCCTTGGTATTATTCTCTGCGTGCAAATAGATTTGGGTCCATAGCAAGCATCTGGCTTCTTGGCAACATGGTGCAATCTTTTCTGCAAAGCTCTGGGGCTTTTGAGGTTTACTGCAATGGTGAACTGGTTAGTGATACATATTGAAGTTACATTTCTGGAATTTATATCACCAACACAAGTATCTCGAGGTTGTTTTGTTTCAGCAATGATGGACATAACAATTTCCTTGTTTCTTCTTGCTGTACATTTTTAGGTTTTCTCCAAACTGAAAGAGGGCAGATTTCCAGGTGAAATTGAGTTGAAAGAACTCATTGGAACAACACTGGCAAAATCAAGCGTCACTGGCAATAGCTGGGCATGAAGACCTCAAACTGGACACAATTTTATGTTGCAGAAAAGACCAAGATGCAGATTACTTGGTTCTTTTTTTTTTTTTGAAAAATCAAAGATGACCAGGTTATGTATGTTCTCTGTATTTGGATCTTTGACATTTTCCTTTTTATATCTATGGATGGCACATTTCACTTGAAGAATGATGTAAACCATACGAATGTTGAAGCCTGAAATATTTCATCACAAGCAAAACCCTGTATCATATACCCAAATTGGTTTTGATAATGGTTAAATCAACGACTGAACATGCCTCTCTTGAAATGTCTAAAAAACTATATTCTGCTTATGTCCCGGCCAAACACCAAGGTTGTGAGCCAGTTAATTGCAACGTAGAATCTGTTCCTCCAGCTAATGACGCGGGTTAGATATGCTGAGCGCCATACAAACCAACTGGCAAATCCTGCAATAGACAATCCCTTTGCCTCCTGTAAAATATAGTTTGTAAATTAGATGCCTACTATCACTACTTAGCAATTCAAAAGAGATGGCTCAAAGCATAGAGATTCACCTTGCTCTCTCTTAGGTCGACAAGAGCCTTGTATCTGCCAATGGTTGCCATGCTTCCTAAATGCTTGTACACAAATGGATCTCCAATTTCTATATCCTTGGCACTGTTAGCACGCCCTCCTCCAGCTTTACCAATTTTATTCAACATTTCTGCAAGATACTTCCCTTGCCGCTCCGCAACCTGTACAAAAGAAGAAACATTTTGCAGGAACAACAAGGAGAAATAATATACAAATTGGCTTCCAAGAAATACAGAAAAAGATGTAAGTTGTCTAAAATAACTCATAATGAAATTAACCTGTGGCCTCATCAAAATCACATTGAGAAGACTTAGTTTTGTCACTTTATAAAACTAAAGAACATAAAAATGCAAGACCTCCCTTTACTTGGCCGATGCCACAAATTAGCAAAGTAAAGGCGGGCCTGCAAAGTCCAATTTCCACCAAAGCCTGCAGTTCTACCTTGGGATTCTTCAAATCTACAAGCACATAAAGAATGAAAGTGGAAAGGGGGAAAAAAAGGTAGAATTGTTCTAGCTTACCTGGGCCAAAGCTGGAAGCACTTGTTTGCCAGTACTCTCTACAAACCCACTGCAGTCACCAATGGAAAAGACATCTTGCACTGATGGAACTCGAAGCCACTCATCAATACCAATCCTGTGATCCACAAGAATCCATCAAAAACAGTATATAAAATAAGGCAAAAGGGAAAATTACACATTTAAAATGCTAGGACGTTTAATCATAGCCATTAAATATGTGAAACATAGTGTGGGCTCTGACTTTATCAAATTTATCCTGTGGTTATCATTAGACGTCCTTGCTTTTTAAATGCCAAAATGTCCTGATTTTCTCATTTCCCATGAAATAAAGTTATACACAGCACTTGGCATAGGATAGATGTGATGATTTGTGCCTTTTTGTCCCCCTTGGGAAACTAGGGTTCATAAAGAGCTCAGAAAGAGGAGTAACCAACACCAAGTTACCTTCCACCTGGAGCCTTTGGCAGTTGCAGAGAGCTAACAAAAGGGGAAGGACCAACACCTGTTGACCATACTAGCAGCCCATATGGAACCTCCGAATCATCACTCAGAATTAGCTTTTGAGGCTTGACATCCTTGACAATGCCACGGACTAGACGAACTCCTGACTGATAAAAACTTCTAATGAAATAATATGATGAAACATCCAAAATAAAAACCAAATAAGAAAAAGATATAGTTGACATGAAAATCTTCACAAGGAGAAGTGTTCTATATGTGACAGGAAAAATATCCAAATTACATTATTGTAAAAGATTTGTAGTTTTAGAATAACTGTACAAGCACCATCTGGCCTAAAGTAAGAAAATATGTAAGGCTTAGGTTATCCAATATCTTTGGATCAATTGACTAATACTCACTGTAGTCAACTGCTTAATTGCATAGCGTCGGAGACGATCATCAAAAGAAGATAATATCTCATTAGCCTGAGAATGAATACAAGAATAACTTTAGTGAAATATGAATCTTATCTATGCCTTCAACTCAAAAAATTCAAAACAAAGTTTAGCAATGAATTCTCTACATGATAAGAACTTTAATTTTCCTCGAACAAACCTCAATCAGAGTGACATGAATGTAATCTTTGACGTGTGCATATCTTTGGTGAACATCTCTCATAATAAAATCACTGAGTTCACCACTGAACTCAACTCCTGTAGGTCCACCTCCCACCACAACACAGTGCAGCAATCTCCGTTTCTCTTCTTCAGAAATCCCTGCCTCCACCAGGAAGCAAAAATTTCTAGTCAAAATTGAACAATACCATAAACGGGAAGGGAATTTATTTTCAAGTTATGGTCTTGCTAAAGCAAAATGCAATTAAATTCACCTGGCACATCAGATAGCATCAAGTTTAGCAGTAGCTTCCTGCGAATTTCCTGAGCATGATGAACTTCCCGTAAGAAAATTGCATGTTCCTTGACACCATTGATACCAAAAGTCGATGCTTGAGCTCCAGATGCAATAACTAATTTATCATATGAGAGATTAAACTTCCATGTTTTTAAGGGGTTTGGTCCATCAACACCAGTAACAGTTTCACAATGCACCTTCAACAATACCCAAAAAGAAAACTTCTTGTAATTAAGCCACTGAAGAACCCGAATCTACAGAATTCAAAGAAATGAAACGAAAGAAGGGAAATCATACCTCATGGCTATCAGCATCCAAGCCAACACAATTAGCAAGAAAGAAGTAAGACCCGGGTGCACGAGAGATGGCAGGCTGGATCCGAGCAATGGGCTCAGCGACGGACCGGAACTCCAGAGTCCCGACGCAGGTAGAAGCCAAAAGAGGCGTAAACACCATATGATTCCTTGGGGACACACAAACTATATCGTATAAATTCGGGTCCAGGCCTTTCATCAGCCTGCACCCTGCCCAGCCAGATCCCAAGACCACCACCCTCGGCTTCTCATCGGGTTTTGTAGGCCCCAGCGTCGACGGCTGAGCCTCCTGCAGCAGTGGGTCGCCCTGGCTGGCAGTGCTGAATCGAGACAGAGAAGTCAAAAGGAGATTAGTTGTTCCGGTGATTCTCTTGGGTTTAGCTACCGAGTTTTTCATTAGACTTCCGAAACGAAACATGGTGGCTGTGCTCCGACGCCGGTGAAGTCTGTGCCGTCGGAAATTACGGGGGGTGGATAATGTCGCTGATATCAGGAAACGTTCGGTGGTCTGACTTGGTAGTGGGGGGGAGATGATGCTTACGTGGCAATCACATCTCGTGACAGAGCCCGTTACCATCTCCATTTATTTTATTTGTCAGTTGTCACGTTCTTAAGAAGAAGATAATAATAATAATAATCAACAACAAATCCTCGCATTCACATTTTTAACTTTTAGAAGATGATAATAACGTATAATCAAACTACTTTAGGACAATGAAAATGATTTTTGTATAATTTTTTTTTATTTTTATATTTTGATATGTTATTATAAATTAATTTTTTAAATTTATGTAAAATTTATAATATTAAATGTATCTATTTATTTAATAATGTATAAAAATAATGTAAAAAAATTATCTTTATAATATCACACTCACTAATAATTTAATTTTTGAAAGATGATAATAACGCAGAATCGAAATAATTTAGTATTTTCTTTTTTCTCACCGTGAGAATTGAGAATTAAAGATAATTGCACCGAAAAGACTGTTTTACATTATACATTTATAAGGAATAAATAAATATTAGAAGAAAATGCAGTTTTTAGTCAAATTTAAGTTTTAACGTGATTAAAGTCGCTAATATAAAAGATAATATTAGAGTCTTTTTTTTCTTTTAATTTTAGACCTACTAGTAATATCTTATTATTAAAAGTAGGGTATTTTAACTTATTAACTATTCTCATAAGTATTATAAAAAAAAAAAATTACTCACGTAAATAAAAGTACTTCTAAAAAAAAGGGCCAAAGGTAGTAATAAATATCCAAATAAGCACATAAGGCTGGATCCAATTTTTTTCCTGGAATTGATAAATATTTTTTATTTTTTATTTTTATTTTTTAATTTTCCTCATCCAATATTTTATTCCCTTTTATTTTTAAAAGAAAGTAGGGCAAGATAGCAAATTTCTAAAATTTCAATTTTTTTAAACTGCTATTTTGGTAAGCAAAGTAAGATGATGTTTGGTAATGTTTAAAAAGCAAATTAGAAGTAAACTATTTTTTTTCCAAATTTAAAATTTTTAAAAAAATTCAAAAATTAACTTTTAATGTAATTTTAAGTAACTTTTTAAAAAAAAATTTAAACTAATCTTCTTCCCTTTCATTTCTAATTTTTTTAAAAGGAAAAAAACCTGTTAGGTGAATATCTTGAGTACTAAACAAAATTATTATATATAGTTTTGACTAAACAATATTAATATAAAAATGTAGTTCTACAATAAAAATTACTATTGTGTTGGCCAAAAGATAAATACTATTGAATATAGATATAAAACTTCTTTTTCATGGATAATCAACAATTTTTTAATATTTTATAGAAAAAAGTGTTTGTTGGCCAAAAATATATATATTTTTTATTGAGAAAAGAGAATAACAGAGTACTTCATTTGCATAATAACAGTGTGTGGGAACATGAGGTCATAAATGCTCAAGAATTGGGATGAAGCTTGAACCTTGGAAGCCCAACTTTATATCCAACAGTCTTGATGTCCTCCTGCACTTGTGCTGAGAATTCAGGGTAAGTAAAAGGCCTGTACTTTGAGCTATGGATCACAGCACCATCTGCCGGGAATTCAAAATAGCAAATTGAGAATCTCTCCTCGTCCTTGTTTGCCCTCACCCTGTGTTTCACACTGATGTACTCATCATCGCTTGCTGCCTGATTCAAAAAACTCAAAAATATATATGTAACTACGAATTAGTATCTTTTCATGATATATATTAAAATTGTCTAAAATGTCGGTATGTAATTGGGACCTGCATCATGTCGCCAATATTGACAATCAGAGTGTTTGGAACATGTTTAACAGGGAGCCATTTGTTGTCCCTGAAGAATTCAAGTCCCCCAATTTGGTCCTGGTGCAATATGGTTAAAACGGAGCTGTCTGTGTGTTCCTCCATCCCACTTAATTCATTAGGATTGGGGCTAACTGGGTACCGGTAAATTCGGTGGTATCCAATTGGTTCTGAGAAAATCTGAGATTGTTTCGAATCAAGATTTAGATTCTTTGACATTGCTCCATACAGGATCTTAGCAATCCTCACTTGATGCCTTCCATATTCCTCCAACAAAAGCCTAATCATAACACAATAATACATGGATAAAAAAGTTAACCCCAAAAAGGGAGGGAATTCATTTGAGTAGACAATTATGTTTGTACCGTAAGAAAATAAAAAAAAAAAAATGCTACATATTGACCAGGCAAAGGCAAAGGTAATCATCATCTATCTTTACCTGGAAAAATAAAATAAAATATCTAAGACATTCCAATCATTGTGTCACTTCATGGACTAAGCCAACATCGATCTCAACTAATCTCAACAAACTATCAGAAAGAAAAGACAGAGGTCTTTCTATACCTGAAAGCGTTAATCATGGGATCCTGGAATCCAACTTGCGAGAGTTGACTGTGGAAAACGCTCAATCCTTCTAACCAGTTGATGTTTAGGGCGCCTCTAAGGGCAGTGCCGGATGTGGTTAGGGCAGGGGTACCCCAAAAGTAAGACACAGGACCATTGAAAAGGGCTTGTTTGGATTCAAATGGGAGAGAAAACAACCTTTTGGCCGAGTCTTGGAGTTGGGTTGTGAGAGTGGGAGGAATCCCATGGTTGACCAAACGAAAGATACCCCAATTCTTACAGGCCGCCCCAAGTTTGTCTGAGTCAGGTAATTGAAGATCTATGAGGGGCAAAGGGTCTGAATCTAGGGAATCTCCGACGGTCTGATTATGGTCGTCGGAGATATGGGAGTGGCCGTTGAGGTTGCGGAAGAGAGGAGGATAGGATTCAAGGTTTGTCATTTCAGACATGATCTAAGGTTGATGCAGCCAAAAGGACTGTTTTACATTAGCGGAAATTGAGACTGAGATTGAGATTGAGAATTTGAGATAGAGAGAGTTTCCTCCTGAAAAAATGAAAAATAAAATGCACAGAATTTTATTGTGGGTTGGTGCTGAGTTGGAACGTACTAGTACTACGTCTAGTCAACATCTCTGACATGGGTGATCTGTAATCTCTGACAATGGAAAATCAGTGATTGTGAAGGAGTTGATCTGAAACTGTTGCTTCCTTACTGCCTCAGTTATCTACATTCTGCAACTACCGCATTGGGATTCACCGGCATTTTAAGCAAAAAAATGGATCCATCCACAGAAAATTGAGGAGTGAGTAATAAAAATTTATGGGGATTTCATTTTATTTTCCTTTGGGAAATTTCGTGTGTGTTCTCTTATTTGACATGTGTGCATATTTACTTAGGCTGAGAAATTATATGTGTGAATTTTTTTTTCTTTTGTGGGCCAACAAATTAGATTAGATATATGAATTTAAAGTTTTTTATTTTTTTTATTTAAATAATAAAAAATAAAAGATTTTAACATTAAAAAATTTATGAACATTTAATTTTAACCATAGCATAAATAAATTTAACCCTACGTTTTAAGTTGAGTAAAATGAAGGGTATGGAAAGGAAATTTTATCTCTCCATTTTCCTTTCCTTTATTCTCCTCATTTGAATAATAAATAAATAAATAAATAAATAAAATAAAAAATTTTCTTGTCCCCTCTAATTTTTTTTTTTTAACTAAGTGGATTTTCTTTTTTTATTCTTCCCAACCCAAACCTATTATAAATAAATTCATTTATATTATGTTTTACTCATTTTGTTGCTATAAAATTAAATGTTATGATATTTTTACAGCTTGAACTACCTCTTCTTTTTTTTTTTGCAACCTCTTCTTTTTGACATGTTACAATCTGTTGGGAAGGAGGATATAACCCAGCTCTCTAGCCTTGTAATGCACCTTCCAAATCATTTGGAGTGATGGCCCAGGTGCTATGTGTCCTTAAATTTTAAACCATCAAATTCGAAGAAGGGTTGTCATGGCGCATGATTAGGTTAGATTTTTTTTTTTCTCTGCCCGTCTTATTATGCTAAATTTAAGTGGAGCTTATTTTTCTTATGTCTTTTCATCAAATTTATTTCCACTTCATTTATTCTTCTTTTTTTTTTTTAAATAAAAAGAATGCAACTGTTGTCAACAAGTCAATATCTTGGACAAATGAGTAGAAATTCTTTTAATGGAATTAAAAAGTTTTGAGTTTAAATTGTAATTATGTAAGTGGTGTGAGTAAAAAAAAATTGCCATTGTTAGAGTGAGAGTAATTGCCAATGCTAAGCTAACAACCAAGGTAAATTCTTCTTCTTCTTTTTCTTCTCTTTTTTTTTTTTTTTTTTTTTTTGTGTGTGTGTTTCTTTTATATTTGACAACTAACAGCATGAGTAAATATAGTAATCCAAGAATAATACAAATATACAAAAATATATATATATATTATTGTAAATAATGTAAAAAATAAACAGCAACGATAGCAAATGGGCCATAAGAATGTGTTGAAATTTCTGATCTCAAAATAAAACGAACTTCATTTTTTTTAAAATTTAAGAATTGTCTTCATAAAATGGATGGTTCATTGATGAGGGCCCTTGTTCATTTATTCACCCACTTGATTGCTGGCCATTTCCTCTCTTGCCTGATTGTCAATGATGTTGAAAAGCTTTCCCTTTCATTAGTGGATAGGTAGCCTTGTGACCGTAGGTTCAAGCCCCACAATGGGCGCCAAATGTTGACATCAAAAAATAACGGGCAGGATTTCGGGTAAGAGGTTGCACAAAAGAGGTCACCAAAAACCTAGAAGAGAGCAAGGTGGTCGCTAGACACTTCCAAAACAAGAAGGCGTTATAGCTTAGCCATATATCAGACAAGGTCTCCGGCTTGGCACTCTAACGCTCAACATAAGATATGAATCCAAGGAGGGAAACTACTTGTGTGTGTGTGTGAGTGGAGAGTTGGAGAAGGTGAATCTGAGAGAGAGGTGAGGTGAGTGTGGTATGCATGAATGAATGAGAGAGAATGAGTGGAGGGGACATCTGATTGTTACCTCCATGTGGTCCCACTAGTTCATGTGCAAGTTCCTAGTCTTATAATAAGAGCATATCACATGTCTATTTTAGAGTATTCTTCTAGTAAGGCGATTAATTAGTATATTTTACAAGGTTCTCACAGACTTGGCTTAGATTCCCATGGATTTAGCCCATTCATCTTACTCAAGTCATTTTTGGGTATAATAGGTACGTTCACCAAAACAATTGAGGAGCATGCTTACCATTCTTTTTATACACATATATATAGTAAATCATTTATGTGATTATAGTAAATGAAAGAAATAAAGATTACATCCCATTAATAATCTCTAAGTATATTTTGTTTGATGAGAAGAGAATGGAGGGAAAATAGAAGGACATAGTTAAAAAAATTGAAGGAATTAAAAGCAAAAATAAAGTAAATGAAGCTTATTCTCTTTCTTACTTTCTAATTTTTTTAGTAATCAAATAAAAGAATCATGAATCATCTTCTCTCCTCTCCCATCCATTTTCTTCAAACCAAATATACCCTAAACTTGCTTACCATTCTTTGTTATACTCTTATGTTAACATTTTGAATTATCAAATTTTCCTTTCTTTCCACTTTTCCATTCTTCCTACTTCCTAAGGCTGGCATTAATGGATGTATGAAATGGAAATATTTATAATTAGGATTGAAATACAAAGAAAAAGGCAATAGGTTGATCTATAATGCAATAATAAACTTATTTGTTGAAGTTGGTTGAAAAATGTATTTTCTTGACAATATATATTATCAAAACAATACTCTTTTTTTTCTTTTCTTTTTTTTTTTGTGATGTAGCCTATGACTATACACTAGAATTTGAATTAATTATAAAATTTTATTAAAATTTTCAAATTTAATTACTTTTTAAATACACTTTTGCTATAAAGAAAAAAAAAAAAGAAAAAAAAAGAAAGATGATTGCTGGGTCTCAAAGTAGGTTCCTTCAAATCTCAATTGGACCAAGACCATCAAGATGGCTTAAAAATACTAAGCCCAACAATAAACATTGGGCTTATACGCATTTAACGATTAAACTATTAATACATTGAGTAGGCCCATGCACATTAGCAGGAAGCCCAAAGTTTATGCAACCGTCGCCTCTCCTGGATCCTTCTACAACATTCCAAACGCAGCCCTAGCACGAGATTTTTCTAAAACCCCGCCTTCTTCTCCGGCGCTTCGACTCCGTATTCTCGATCCCATCGGGAGCAGCAACGGTGAAGGATTCTTCGCGTTTTCTGCATCTTCAACCTCAGGTTAGCATTTTCGATTCTTTCTGTGTTTGTCGGTGTAGTTTAGGGTTTGTTTCATTCGATTTCTTCTGATTGAAGAAGAAATCATATAAGTCGAAAATGCGAAATCTGTGCCGGAAATTATCTGACCTTCTGTTAGCAGATATTTCAGTGTTTCGTCTCTCTGAAGCTTGATTCAGATTAATGGCTTCCTCGAGTCTGTTAATGATTTAGGTTTTCTTTTGGTTTTATGGCTTCCTCCTGCAATTGGAGTATCTTTCATTTATCTTCTCTGTAGTCTATACTCGAAACCTCATCATTTCTCTTGGCTCTTAATGTGAGAAGATGAATTAAGTTTCTTTGATTTTGCCGATCAAAAACAAAAATAGAGTTGTTAATATTTTTTCGATTTAACTTAAATTTCCCTGCAAATTTTGCCTGGATGTTTTCAGCATTAGGCATCAAGAATGATTATGTTCGGATGCATGGTATACTACATGTAGGTGTATTTGCAAATGGAATATGCCTTAAGTAGGTTGTCTGCTTGCAAGTCTCCATCGTTGTTCTACCTGTTAGAGATGGTGTTAATATCTGGTTTGAAGCATATTTTTGCTTGCAGTTCTTGAGTGTTTTTTTTTTTTTTTGGTTTCCCGCCCGGTATCGGAGGCTTCACCTCGACTAATCCGGACCCGACCCGCGTCGCGCACCTGGAAATGATGGGTGAGTCTCCCAGCGGGGATTACTGCATACACAAGGGCTTGAACTCAAGACCTTGTTTAAACTGGAACAAGCCGCTTACCACTGTTCTTGAGTGTTTTAGTGCAGTAAATCGTCACCATTTTTTTGTTATACTTGAAATGAATTTTCTTCTCTTTAAATAGAATATATGGTGCATATCTAAGTAACAATATGTGAAGTAGGGGGTCTATGTAGAAAAAGGGCTGCAAGCAAACACTGCATTTAGCGGAATAAATGCAAAAGCATTGTAGCATATTGTTTTGCTTGGTCGCTTTAACTTGGACAGACGTAGTGTTGTATGTTGTTACATGTAAGCTGTGGTGGCTACTTTCTCTCTCTCACTAGTTCTGCTCTTTCTGGTTTATATTTGGACTTGCTACTTGCTAGATTATTAGACATTCAGGGAAAACTAACTATATGATTTGTTGATTCATTCTCTCTCTCAGGTGACCTTGTAAGAACTGAAAAGCTGTTGCAGAAAGCATGGCCAAGCATCATCCTGATTTGATCATGTGCCGGAAGCAGCCAGGCATTGCCATTGGACGACTTTGTGAGAAATGTGATGGGAAGTGTGTGATCTGCGATTCTTATGTGCGTCCTTGCACCCTTGTGCGAGTCTGTGATGAATGCAACTATGGATCATTTCAGGGTAGGTGTGTGATATGTGGAGGTGTGGGAATATCTGATGCCTACTACTGTAAAGAGTGTACACAGCAAGAGAAAGATCGAGATGGTTGTCCTAAAATTGTCAACCTGGGCAGTGCCAAAACTGATCTGTTCTATGAACGGAAGAAGTATGGTTTTAAGAAAAGATGATAGGTGGATTGCATTTTTTGTAATAACTTCCCTCAAATCCGTGCTGATATTGAATATTATTGGGGTGATAGCTTGTAGGATATTGGAATTATGATTAGTCTTTCAAGTCATGACATTGTAATCTGCTACTGATATTTTCTTTAAGAATATCAGGAGGTGTATGAGCTGCTACAATTACTTTGTGAATTTTGACTTAGATTGTGTTGTTATGGACACAAGTAAAATCTATTCAATGTTACCGGTGGAGATTGAAGCTCGTTGGCTTTTGTCAATTGCCACCATCTTTATGAAGATAATGCTAAAAGTGGCTCATTAGGCTTGATTTTAGAAGAGATGGCACTTGGAATTGGGCTTGTTAGAAAACATATAGACTTCAACGCAACATGAGCATCCCAAATTTGTTACTATGATCTATGAGTTAAAGATTACCATGACTCTTCCCTGAAAAAAAAAAAGAGGATTATCATGACTCTAAAGAAGAATACGGTTTCAGTGTGTCCTTTTGTAGGGAAGTAAAATTCAATTGAAATGGAACCAAAAAGCAATGTTGGTCAATAAAAGTATAAAACCGGCATGAATGAATTTTGTTCATGCAAATGTTGTTAATGGGTGCATTGCAAAAAACCCATGCAGAAATCATAATCATATGACTTTTGTTTTTGTATTCAAAGACCCGAAAAATTAAAAAGAAAAGAAATTGAAATTGGGTTTTTCTCTTTAAGGGCACCTTTTTTTTTATCAGCAATATATATAAAAAATTTAAAAATTAATATTAATTATAGTGTTATTATCATATGAATAAATTTAATTAAATAATTAATAAATTAAATATTAAATATTTTTTAAATATAAATTTATAATAAAAAAATTACATTTATTACATTCTTATTACACAAGTTAAAAAATCCTTTGAAATTGTAGAAGACAAAGCAATCAAATTTTGTAAGAATTAGTAATAATAATGGTGCATTAATAGAAATTAAATACCCTAAATAACTATAAAAAAAAATTTACTTCCTTAGATAATTATCAATGCTTGAGATTCCCATTATTATAAAAAAAATAAAAATAAAAAGCTTGAGATTTCCACCTCATCTCTTTACACCACAGTAGGTTTCAAAATTCGAACACAAAGCACCATATATATTAGAAATAATC